AAAGCAACCAAAAACTAAACTCTCAAGAAACTCGGTGTCAAAACCCTCGTAACTCGATGTCAAAACTCTCAGGCACATGTAAACATCTCAAATCTCTGAAGAACACTCGATCTTAGTTAGTGGCTGTTTCTCATCAGCGCTGCATTTGCGAAGTTTGCTCAGGGTAATCCGAATCACCTCGCCAACCTTGTCAGCATCATCCTTGCTGAAGGTGGCTAACTTGCTCACCTCACCGCCATCTATATGGCACTGATAGATTGCCTGCGCAATCTTGGTCTTGTTTACCGCAGTGTTAGGGCACAGGATCAGCAATTCCTGGAACACAGCAGTGTACTTGGAAAGTATTCCCAACGCGGTCTTCGGCGCGCTGGTCCAGTTGCATTGCCCTTCTCTGGCCATCTGAAGCATATGGTGTAGGTTCCTTCCTGTCTCTGCCATGCCCTTTTCTAATGCTTCTTGAAGGTTGACCATGGAAACATTCCCATCAGCTGACAACCGTGAGCGCTTGGTTTTCAAAGCCATGGCATACGGAGACGTTTTCTTCGCGTCTCTCTAAATCAAAAGGTGGTGCTCAACGCGTTCAAGGGTTTCTGGTTCTTGAAATCTTTGGATTGTGTCGTGCTTTGGTCTCTCTAAACCGCTCAACGCTTTCAATCAACCACTGTTGGGCCAATGTGGTCCAGATACTGCGACGAACCAAATTGCGAGTTTGAAGCCCTAGTTGCTGCGTCTGGGTCAAGCAAACCTATACTGAACATCAAGCCTGCCGACTCTGTGGAAGCTCTCCAAACTCTCCAAGCAAATTCCCTCAAAACTCTCTCAAAGCAAAGCTCTCAAAACAGTAGCCATTCCATGAAGTTGGTCCCTTTTGCTTCCCCTGCAGCTTTGGTATCGTTCGATTGTGTTCAGCTGAAGGAAAACACTCAAACTGGATTGGCTGCATTCAATATTGGATTGGCAGCGCCAAAGATCACAATAAGGCACCTGTACACATGCATCATTGAACCCTGAACCACTCGAGTAACTCTCAGAACACTCAGAACCCTCCAACACCACCACCACCTGCACCACCACCACCAACAACAACAACTTATATACACTCTCAAGATTCGTTTGTTTCCAATAATAAATTTTGTTTTATTTTTTGGGAAATGGAATTTTGTAATTTTGGAAACAAAAGTTTTATTATTTGATGATAAATTTTGTTTATCAAAAACATAAATTTTATAAAAACAATAAAATTTTCTAAAAATAATAAACCCATTTTGTTTTATCATTTTTAAGTGATTTTATCTTAAAGGATTCTCATGGGATGCATGATCGAATCAACCAAGGTGGATCGGATAGGTACATCGTTTTTCCTTCGATAGTTCCGTCTGGTCCGAGTTCTCGATTCGCGTTGCGCGGCGATCGTCGCGCGCTGCAGGAATGGAGGTGGAGACCAAGATCCCTGGTCGCCGCTGCTCCTTATTGGTCGGATCCGACGCGGCTGGGGGGGGGCGGATCGGTTTCGCGGTCGTCGTCGTTGGTTCGTTCGATCTCGTGTCAACGACGTGCGATCGCGCGGATGTTTGACCGGTTCGCTCTTAACGCTCGAGCTGGTCAGCAGAGCGCCAGTGGTTGGTCTTTGCCATCACTATTACATTGATTGATCAATCATAGATTATTGAGGAGACAGTTCAATCCTTTTTCTTGTTAGATCGGACCGCTCCAATGGATCGCTCCATGGCGGCTTTTCTTCAGCTGCCAATGTTCGACGACGAGTTCACTCGGGCGCTGTGCAGGCTGGGGCTCGGGCGATCCGAGTTCTGGCTGGCGCTGGATGCTGATGAAGGAGCGGACGATCAGATCGTTCGGATGCTTGGCGCAATGGGGGGAGATCAGGACGATAGGGACGTGGTACTTCGACGGATTGAGTTGGTACCTCTCCTGTTAAACCTGATCTTCCAATCCCGCTCAAAGATCATGGGCGAGATTGCCACTGACTTGGGGTATGGTCATGGATCGGCCGTTCGACCGCCCAGCGTGGTTGAGCCCCAGGTTTGCGGTGGTCCCAAAGATCCTAGAATTCCTCTGTTCAAAAAGCCAAAAGTGGAGCCGGCCACTACGGCAGTGGGCTCCCTCAAGTCAGAAGAAGAGAATGAGAAGTTGAGGTGGGCAGCCAGGCTGAAAGCGATCGCTGCCAAGGCTGGATCGCACGCCCAGATCAATCAATCATTGCCTGGCGCAGAGATCACTGCGGGGGAGCAAGCAGAGATCCGTGAGTTGGTCTTCGGTGCAGGCGCGTTTCGCACGATCCGTGTGAATGTGCTCGCATGGGAGCGGATGGAGAAGTGGGCTGGCTCCCAAGGGTTGTCGGTCTACCCCCTCACCAACTCAGTTTTCTCCAAGTATTGCTTGCGCCTCTCCAATTCGGGATGCGGCCCATCAGTTCTGCCAGCGCTGGTCTATGCAGTGAGGTGGATCTGTAAGCGGCTAGTCATGCCAGTCCCGGATACGGACGATCCTCACGTTGGAGCGATCGTTCAGAGGGTTTACAACAAACACAGGTGCGGATCCCGCGACCGCGCCACAATGGCCGCATTCTACCCTTTCACTTCCCGCATCACATCCTCGAATACTTGGACTCCAACAAGGACCGGCCTTCCACCACTCCGGCGGCACCACCTTATCCAATATGGCAAGGGACTCGAAACTGTGGACCGGTTGCTGAAGGCTGCAGCTCTTGAGTGCGGAGTGAAGGCAATTTTATATTCCATGTCGACATCATGCACCACTTGGTAAGGGTCTTCCATGAGATCATCGCACAGGCGGTCCATTTGTGGCTAGGAGCAAAATTCGATCGCAAGAAATTGCAGAAGTCTGAGGACCCCACGATCCTGGGGGTCACATACGACCTTAAGCACATGAGAGTGCTCATCAAAGAAAGCAGAAAAGCGGAGCTGATGGATGAAACCAAAAGCATACTCCAATCCGGTGTGCTCTCACCAGGTCAGGCAGGCAAGCTGAGAGGTAAGCTCATGTTCGGTTCATCCCAACTGTGGGGTAAGATTGGAGGAGCCTTTTTGCGAGCTCTGTCGGAGCGGCAGTACTCGAAATGGCCCAGCTCCGAACTGAACGCTGCCATTCGGCTTTCGCTCGGTGAATGGGAGCACTTGCTAGTAAAAGGTCCACCGCGACCAATCGAGGAGATAAAGAAGAAGAGAGCGGATTTCGTAATTTTCACTGATGGAAGTTTTCCGGACGATCGATCTGACGGCCCTGAGTTTCCGTGGATCGGCGGAGTGATCTTCTCCCGAAACATGACGCCTTTACAGTTCGGCTGTAGGGTGCATGATTCGCTCATTAGAAAGTGGCTCCCACGGAAATCACAAATTGCCATGGTCGAAATGTTTGCAGTGATCGTAGCTCTCGTAACCTTCGGTCCTCTAATTAAAAATTCTTGGATCCTCATGTTCGTCGATTCCGAACCCGTTCAAGGTGCGCTCGTTAAGGGATATTCCGCTAAGGAAGACATGTGCGAGCTCACAGGTGTTTTCTGGAAGTTGGCTCTGGAACTCAAGGTCAACACCTACATCGACAGAGTTTCAACAGATGCTAACCCAGCTGATCCTCCATCAAGGGATCAGATGAACGTTGGATCTCGGCTAGGTTGGAAAACGGTCTCAGCTAAGTTCCCTAACCTTTGACAGCGTAGGGTGAATTTTGATATCAGTTTTGATTTCCAATGCAATAGGTCATCAGATGTGATGACATGATTTTCGATCGACCTTCCAACTTACCCACGTCGCATGGAAGGAAAACCGGGCGTGTTCACGCTGCCTTCTGTGCACTGTTTGTTGAGAGTTGTAGAGCTCTGATCAGAGCTCGTCACAGGAACGTAATTGGTTGACTTATCATCGGTTGGTTAGGCTGGGATAAGTAGATCAATTGTTCGTTCCCTCACAACTCCAACATCTCCATTCGATTGATCCTTTTTATTTGATCCTTTTCAATTATTTCAACAATGTGGCTGATCAGCCAATCTGGGAGAGCACTGAGCCAATGGCATGCTCATGCCATTTTGGCTCAAGGTGTGAGCTCTGATTTTTGAACCCACCCACCACTCCCCTTTGAGGCCCAGATCCCGGGCCTTGAAGGGGGGTGGTGCCAGGTCCGTCACCGCCCCCTGTTGACTCAGGTTCCTGATCTTTTGCGATGTTGCTCTAGCGGGCTTTGCCGCCGATGATACGCGGAGCTCTCGGTGATGTCGCGGTGCGAAATGACCTGCCGGGTCATCTGTGATACCTAGCTGTTCAGCTGCGCATTTTCAGTGGTGATCACTGTCACTGATAGATCTCGACCCTGGAGGGGTGTCGATCACCCGGACTTATTTCATTTTCTGATCACCAGATCTTGTATGCGGTTCTTCACACCTGCGATATCGGGGTGAATTTTGATATCAGTTTTGATTTCCAATGCAATAGGTCATCAGATGTGATGACATGATTTTCGTTCGACCTTCCAACTTACCCACGTCGCATGGAAGGAAAACCGGGCGTGTTCACGCTGCCTTCTGTGCACTGTTTGTTGAGAGTTGTAGAGCTCTGATCAGAGCTCGTCACAGGAACGTAATTGATATATATATATATAGATATTCATTTCTGGAACGGAGAATCAAGAACTTACAGCGACAGACGGCCGCTAGCAGGAAGTTGATCAAGGCCTCAGCCTCCTTGGTTAGCCTCCTTAGCCAAGCGCTGGCAAAGGGAATGAATAATTATGGTATATAACATCTCCTGCATGCTCAAATCTTGCGCGGACGTGTATGGATTGCCTGTTAAAGCAAAGTTAACTTGTCCCACACTGCTGAACATGTCCAGCAATGAACCCTTAGATCTTGTCTTGGCAATGTGTAAGTGAATATGCTCAGTTGAAGTGCGGCGACATTAGGCGTTTTGTTGACTTTCCCATAACATATACAAAAAGTTGTTGCACGAATCGAATTATCACCTGCCCAGGAGTTGGCTTTGCAGTTGTGCCTTGCCTGAAATTCCATTGGTGAAACTGATGTTTTGCAAGTACTAAGCACAAAACTAATTAGCTGTGGAGGCACTAAAACGGATTGCCGAATTGTGACACGGGTGATCCAACTTGTCATCTTGTAACAGCAAGCCTGGTGCGGGAGAGGAGCCAGGATTGTCTCTCCTTTCACGTGAGGCCGGTGTCATGCTCATGACCTCAAATTGGCTCTACGGAGAGTGGCCTGACTTGATGTGACTTGCTTTTTGGTTACAAGAATGCCATTAGCTTATTGTTACTACGTTCGCTTCTTGTTACTACTAGTAAGGCACTTGTTACTACTAGCGATGCACTTGTTACTATATACTAGTTTTTAAGTGGCCTTTTCTTTAGCTTTTCGAAAAGCCACGAAGCCATGCCATGCTGCCATGCCCCGGAAATTGCTGGGATGTCTGTACCCAGACGCGACAGTCTGCCGTGGAAACTTGAAAGGCGATGGTTTCACACCTTTTCGGCTAAACTGCCTTCAGGCTCGTGGTGCCGCAGATCTTAGATGGACCTTTGGAGCTTCCAGAGGCTGGATGGATCAAAACTCTGTACCCTTCCTTAATTTGCCCAAACTGAACAGAATCGTCTTCCTGGACACTTTCACGTACTGGGGCTTACTGGGGTCTGATCCGTAGCCATACGGACCATACTATTTCTATTAATTTCTTATTTTTCTGGACATTCAGCCATTCTGCTCGTCAACGACTTGGGGCCTTGTAATTCGTGACTTTGTGGACCATCCTTGTTGCTGTAGTCCTTCCATTGCGGGATGGGGAACATGGTCTTTTGACAAATGCACTGCATCGCATCTTGCTCTTGGTAGGAACCAGTGATCGAAGTGCCGGCCTCCGAAGTTGAGGCGTGGACGCGGCGCCGAGCCTTTGTCGAACGAAAAGACCGCATCAAGAAACGCAAAATATGTCTGTCCAAGAGGCCCATTACTATATAACTTATTTGTTAACTTCCTTCCATTGTTTTTTGTTCGCGGAGTGGTCCAGTGGTCCATGCTGTCGTTCAATCTTTTTTCATTTGTTTCACATGCTCGAATTGAACGGGGGGCTTCACACCTCATTCTATGCAGCCCGCACCAAGAGTCCAGGTTGTGGCGCACATCACAGAGGGCAACATTTATTGACAATATCAATCAGAGGGCCAGATTGATGAGGCCTTCTTGTAGTGCAAATGAAAGAGGCCACTCCACATAGGCACCCACCAGCACCAGATTCTGTCGACCTGTGTTCCATATCTCTTTGTTGCTGGAAACAGGTTTGCGAGGCCAATGAGACTGAGACTGAGAATGGCACGTGCAGCACCAACAGCAGCAATGCCACAGACCCCGTGGCCACTCGGACGAGAAGCTCCAGAAATACCTCCTCGATACCGGAGAAACTTGCATGAACCAAGTTCTCGAATTATATAATACATCTTCATCTTTTGTTAAGCAAAGCTTGGAGTGAAATCACCTTTACTGGTACCTGTGGAAGATCGAGACCCGAATCGAGGTGAAGAGGCTAAAGATCCCTTCACCTGGGCTCATCCAAGGCAGCTTGCGCTATGGTTTCTTGGTGACATTAGTTGTGGGTCAAGTGAGCGCATTTTGTTGATTTGGGGCTCAGAGGAGACTGCGCTGAGACAGAGATGCATTGTGAGAATAATATGCCCAACTGGGTGCACCCATGGCAATAGGAGAACACGCCTGTGGAGGTTTAGATCGTTGTTTTGCTGGCAATAAAACTGGAAGATAAGCTTTGGAGTAGCAGTTCAACACCAAAATAGGTTGTTGCCTTGCAGTGACCATATAGTAGGGTAGTTACAAGCATGGGTAGTTACATATACAACAGAAAACAGGGTGACTCTTCCCATGCCCGGTGACTCTCAACTAGTGCTGTGTTTCCATGCGGCTGCCTGAATTTCTGCAAGCCTGAGTGACTCTATCCGGGCGCTTGTATATAAGCGAACAGGGAAGGGAAGGCAAAGGCCAAGGCAAAGGGAAAGGGAAGGGGAAAGTAAACCACTCAACAGCAAGCCCACCTGCAGTGATTCCTGTCCTATCTATCACAAACTGTGTGAACTCAGGATATGTGGCAGCCTTTGCATTCTCTCTTGCTGGCGTGTGCTTTTGTGGTCCTTGGTGGTCCACCTTAATCCACGTGCCTTGGCAGTTCAATTGAACTCCAGTCTTGGTGTTGACTGGTCGTGCTTGAGGGCTGTCTATGTGGAAGCCTGCAGTTTGGCATCTCTCTTAGAACCTTACAAGTCCTCTTCGATGAAAACGTGTCTTTGGCTCTTTTTAGAGCTTCAAACTGCGCTGGAGGTCTTTGTGTCCATTGCCTTCGCCGTTACGTGCTCCATCCACACATGGGCACCTTTGGCATCACGTCGTTCTGGTTTCTGGTTTTCAAAAAGGCAGTGCGTGCTTTTCATGTTTCATAGCGACCTTTTAGATTGAAGTGCTTGTTTGTGCAGCTTTGTGGGGGACACAGGGCTGCGGTTTGGTGCGAACAAACCATTTTGAAAGGTCTAGGCCTAGGCCAATCTGGCATTGATGATGAATCCAGGAGGAGCACCCAGCGCTTCAAGCAGAAGTATCCTGCATTGCCAAGCAACTTCTAAGACAAAACAATATGTCATATGTCAGCAAGCACAAAGGTATCCTAGTTGGCTGCTTTGCTGAGGCTATCACGGCTAAGCTAGGCCACCTTTTTCATAAAGTTTGTCATCAGAGGTAGCAGAGATTTTTGAATGTAGTTTTGTTCATTCAAAACTGCGCTTGTAGCGCAAGACGCCCGCATTGTTTCGTTGGAATCGACGCACAACTAATCCTCGCGGGAATATCCTCTACAAAATCAGGGGAGGGGGTTTCTATAGAGAAAACATGTTTTCTACTATAAAATCAAAAGGCACAAGCGGCACAAGTGAAAGAAAGTCAACAAAATAACTTGTTGGCATCGGCCAGACCTGTGTTCAGGGATTTGATAGAAAGCACTTTGGCAACCTGGGATCAGAAGAATTTATAGAGAATTCAGTTTTGCCAAAACAACCTGCGAACAGAATCTATAGAAAGAGACTTGCCTGACAACAGCTAGAACATGAGTTCTATAAACGAAAGTTTTATAGAATATATACTGGTCATAAAACACAGGAACCAGATTCTATAGAAAGCAGAAGTGGCTTATGGAATTGAACAATAGAATCTATGGAGAGGAAGGATGCTGACATTTAAAGCAATCTATTTGCGGCGTCCAAAACCGCTGCCAGGCCCTGATGAAAGCGCAAGAAAACATGTACTCATATACGGTATAAGAAAACAATGTAATGTACAGCAAAAGACACATGTAAGACATCAATAATAGAAGTCAAAGAAATCCGGGGGCTCCGGAAACAATGAATAAAGCAAACACAACATTAATAATAACATTCTTTTGATTAATATTGATGAGGAGTTAGTAATCTTCAGATTACTTGGGGAGCACCTGGCGCCGCCTGGCGCACTTGGGTTGTCGCCATGCCGCCTCCAAGCAGCATGTTTTCTAATTTGTTTTCCATAAAATCAGTCCTGTCGAGGTGGCACGGGTTCCACTTTTTTCTGTTTGATTCTGGGTTCCCCTTTATTAGATTAGATTTGAACGAAAACAATTAGGAAGAGTGTCTCAGGGGGGACGTGTGCCACCAGATTTTAGAGAGTGGCCACTTATCCAGGCATGTTATTTTAAGGATTCTATAGTTTGTAAGTATCCACTCCAACCTGTTTTTTTCTATTGTAAAATCTGACCCCCAGCTCCTACCTGAAATTCACACCTGGATCACAACTATATGCACAACTAAAACTGATGATGACCGACTCTTTCTCGCTCAAGCCGAATGTGGAGTCTTAGGTCTGTGTCGTCCTTCGTCTCCCTCTTGTCTGACCTCTCAGTTCGCTCCTCCTGTCCGATCTACTGCTCAGGATCCTGCATTCCTTGGTTCATTGCTGGATTGGCCATTGGCATTCTTCTTGCCCTCTTTGCTGGATTTTACCTCCTGATTCACTCTCGAACCTTCCTGCATTCCACTTTTCAGGATTTCCAGCATCATCCAGATCCTGTTTCGGTTGCAGTCCGGCCGTTGGAATTGGAAAAGAGAGCAAGATTGGCCTCCTATAAGGAGCAGTGAATGAGCCACCCAGTGACCAAGGAGGACTTGGCTCAGCTGATAAGTGCAGTGAATCGACTTAGTATTGCGCTTGAGAGATCGTCCCTGGCCTCATCATCCTCGCAAACCGTGGAGCCTAGGCCAGTGATTAGTGTTGCTGGTTGGGAGTTGGTTGAGGAGGCATCTGAGTTGCCTCTTTCAGTCAAAGTTGATCCTCACCGGGTGTTTGAAGACGGTCCAGAGCCTATCCCAGAGGACTTGTTGGCATTGACCTCATCCAAGCTGACTTCAGTCTGTGGACCTCCTCGGGACCGCGTGCTCCGTGCGTGGAAGGCTGGAGTTTGGGCTTGGGCGGCGAACGCCACACACTCCGAATACAAGCAAGCAGAGCCTCTGTCCCTTTCGGACGTGCGTTGGGTTGTGGTGCGACATTCTCGCATTACAGGGCCTGTGCGTGTGAGGAAGTTGTCAGAACTCAGATCGTTGTTGGCGTCCCAGGCGTGCGAGTGTGAGCCTGCCATCTACCAGGGCTTCCCCTCGATCACTGAGGTTCAGGTCTTTTGCTCGTCCTTCGGGACGCGCTTGCCTCCGCTGTATCAATGCAGCGGTCAGAAGTGAAGTTCGCAGATGATCATGGTGACTATTCGCTCCTGGTAGTCACCTTGTCTCCACCAGTGACAGGAGCAGTGGTTGAGCTTTTTGGGTTGCCTCTGCTGGGAAGGCAAAATGGTTTCCTTCTTTGCATTCCTCATGGAGTCATCCATCAGAGCTTGTAGTTTGAAGATCCTCAGCACGCCGAGATGGCACCTGCATGGCTTGGAGTTGGAACAGTCCTTGAAGTGGCTTTGGTGGAGGAAAGTGATGACGGCACGCCCCTTCCTCTTGGCTTCAGTGGAGCAGTTGATGTTGTCGATGTGACGGATGACCTGCTATGTTTTGTGCGGCAGTATGATCCAGTGGTTGATTCTGACCTGGCTATATGCCCTTTTCATGAAGATGCCCCTGGTTGCCTACCTGATGTAGCTGCACTACATCTCCTGGTCAAATCATGGATAGCTGAGAGATTGGACCCTGGTGCGGGTTTTTATTCGGCTCAAGAGGACCCGACATCTGCACCAAAAATCAAGGCGGCCGTTCCAAAGAAAGCGGGCCCCAAGAAGGTCACAAACGCTGTGCTGATGGAGCAGCTGACATCTCTCGCCAGTCAGATGCAGTTCCTTGCTGCCCGACAAGATGCCCTAGAGAAGAGAGGAGCGGATCGAGATGTTGCTGTAGGAGATGCCTCAGGACTTTCATCTGGCAAACCAGGCAAATTGCCGGCCGTGCCAGACGGCCTTGCTTCCGTGGGTGGCCCACCCATTTCAGTAGCAAAAGGGTTGAGCTTGGTTGGTCCTCCTCGTACAAAGATGACCCAGATGCAGCTTTCTCAGGCTCTTGCTCAGGCACCAGAAGATCCCAACGAGGTGCTGGTCGGGGGCGACGGGGCTGGTCAAGGGGTGATTGTGAATGCACTCAGTCAACAGTCGACGGCTCTTGCTTCTCTAGTAGCCCACCTGGTTGGACACAGCAACGATCCGCTGATGGACCTCCAAAGTGGACTCTCAGGCTCTTCGTCGATGAAGGGAGTTCAGAGGAGGGAAAAGTTGCAGGCAGAGTTGGCATCAAGATTTGGGAACTTCTTCCTCCTCCTCATGCAGCAGATTCACAAACGCTTGCATCCTGGGAGGGTTTTGCCAAAGACGGAAAGCGAGACTGGTGCAGTTTCTTTCCTGGAGTATCTGGAAAAGTCAGGTGGCTACCGAAATCAAAAGACCCTGGGCCTTGTGCAGTGGATTTTAGCTCATGCCATAGATGCTGCAGCGCAAGGCGACTTCCAGGGGACAAAGGAGATCATTGCTCTTCTGGCCATGGCTGTCGAACAGGCAAATTTCGACAATGGGGACTGGAGCGTTGCCTATCTCATCAGCTTGATGGAGGAACCACCTATTCAGTTGTTTCAGGAGAGGTCAGCTACAATCACCAGCACAGGGCGCCCTTTCAGCCCTCTGATTCCGCCTGTGTGGACTGCCACAACATTGAGCTATATCAAAGACATGGAAGTCCTCGCAAACAAGAAGCCGGAAGGGAAAGCAAAAGCTGCGCCATCAAGGGAGCAGGAAGGGACGGGGAGCCCGACCGGATCTCCGAAGAGAAAGCCACGATTCCCGAAGCGCCCGAAAGCGGCGCAGGAGGGAACCCAGTGACGAGAAGCTCTAGTTGCATGAGGCGCTCTTCTCATGGTTCCCGTTTTGAGAGAGCGCCGGTTGACCGACACAGAATTCATGGTCGGGTGAGGAACTATGACGCCCTCCCTGAGAAGGTTCCTGACACAGAGGTTGGTGGCAATGACTATGACCTCTTTTCTAGGGTTCCAAAAGCCCTGACTTTTTGGAAGTGGTGTGCTGGCCTGTTGCGAAACATTTTGAGGACTCGTACTCCATTTTCTGCATTTTTTGACAACCTCATTACATATGCCTCGGAACTATGATGTTTCGACATCGGCGCTATTCCCTGTGCCAATTCCGGAGACGGAGTTGTTTGGCAGGATGCCGACAGGGCTTTCACTACATGCTAGGAGACGGCTGCACCTCAAGCGTGTTTTACACATTGTTGTGATGGCGTTGAACTACTGGCATGATGGTTTGGAAGTTTTTCCGAACCCAAGCTTACTGTCGAGGTCTCCTTCAGCAGCTCACCGCAGCATCTACAGAAAGCTGATGGGGATTATAGCAGCCGACGGCCCAGATTCAGGAGTTTGTTGAGACTCTTGCTTGCGGCCGAAAGTTTCCTCAATTAGTTGCACGACTTGGAGAACTGTCAGAAAGCCTTACAAAGCTCGGTGCTTCAGGCCCCTACAGTCGGATGTATGCTGGACATGAAGTTCCTCTTCGGAACGAAGTACTGCCGGAGCTCACTCCATACAAACCTCTTGACTCTAGCCGACTACTTCTTTTTGGGAATGGCTCTTTTGATGCAACGGATTTTCTAGCAGATGATTTATGCATGGCATACAGGATGCCTCAGTTGTTGAGGAATGGCTATGTTCCCGTGGACGGCGAGTTCCCCAAGATAACAGACTCTGCTGGTGAAGTGTTGAAGCTTGCAAAACTCTGGGACTCCCGTGGGTTGCTATTTTTGAGCGACGAGGATGTGCCACTTTTCTCCCAGACAAGGGTTTTTAACAATTTCAAGAACCTGCAAGTCGACAGACAGATCGGAGACCGCCGGGGAATGAATCTGCAAGAAGGAAAATTGGAAGGTCCATCCCGGCACCTGCCGGCTGGTAGCGATCTGGTTGATCTTCATCTGGATCCAGTCAAAGAATCCTACAGAGTCTTTGCCACAGACAGGAGAGATTTCTATCATCAATTCTGGGTGACTCCTGAGAAAGCAAGGGAGAACGCTGTGGGTCCTCGTGTCCGTCTACAAGATCTTAGAGGCCTTGAGGAGTACGATAGATTCACAAAGGGACAGACCTTCAGGAAAAGCCCAGCTACAAGTCGTGAGACTGTTGGTGATAGGCTTCATGATGACCATGGAGTATTTTTCTTCAAGCCTAGGCCTGTCCTCACGGAGGATGTCCATGTATGTTTTCGCTCTCTTTTTCAGGGTGACCACATTGGGGTGGAAGTGGCAACCTCTGCCCATGAGCATCTTCTGCAGGCCGGTGGACTGTTGGCAGAACATGAGAGACTTCTGGCAAATGTTCCTTTTCATGGAGGAAAAGTTTGTCAAGGGTTGGTGATCGATGACTATTTTTGCATGTTTTGCGAAAAGAGAGGGCCGTTGCAGAATCCGAGCGAGGCTTTCCTTAGGTTCCAACGGAGCCAGGCTGTTTATGAGAAGCACAAGATTTTGGGATCTCCTCACAAAGACGTTCTGTGAGACGCCCGGGCCAAAGTCATTGGTGCAGAGATCAATACTTCTGACAGAGCTGCTCGAAAAGCTGTTGCGACAGTTGGATCACCTGTATGCAAGCGCCTCGCTATGAGTTGGCTGACTTTGCAGGTGGCTCAGCTGCCCAAGACGACAGACGTTCTACATCTGTGCATTGTTGGGGCATGGACTTCAATGATCATGTACAGGAGACCATTGATGAGTATCCTTTCCTATTCCCATGGCCTTGTTGACGCGGCGAACATTGACAACGAACACCCACAGCTGGTTCCCTTGCCTAGAAGGATAGCAGATGAGCTGACAGTCCTCTCGGTGTTGGGGATTCTTGCAGTTGCTGACATTGGGGCTGTGTTTGAAACCAAGGTTTTTTCAACAGATGCTTCCGATGGGCCATCGCATCGGCGCAAGTTCCTGAACAGATTGCTCAGATGTTGTGGAGAGGCTGCAAATCCAGGGGCGCATACTCTAGGCTCAAAAGCCCGTATGAGGTGCTGTTGGACAAGCTTGGTCTGCGTGAAGAAGGAGACGAAAATGAGAGATCTTTTCAAGATTGCTCCTCCTACAGACCTGCCCCCCAAAAGGCACTTGCTTTTCACTATGACTTCATTGAGGTGTTCGCTGGATCTGCCAAGGTTTCAAGAGCGGCCTCCTCCTTGGGTCTTGTGGTTGGGCCTCCCATAGACATTGCGCTGAGCGGTGAGCTGGACTTGTTGTTGCCAAGAGTTTTGGCATGGCTTAGTTTTCTGCTGACTTCCGGATCCCTAGGAAGCATCATGGTTGTGCCTGTATGCACTACTTTCTCGATCATGCGGAGGCCTCCGCTGCGAGGAAAAAGTGATCCACTTGGTTTTGAGCCGCGTCATCATCAAACTCATGTGGGCAATGCGCTGGCGTTGCGGGCTCTGACACTTCTCACATTAGCATGGAGGCTATACATTCCTGGCCTTTGTGAGCAACCTTGGACCTCGATGATGAGGTATCTGCGACAGTGGAAAGCTCTGGAATGCAAAGAAAGGGTGTCAACCGTGCGCTCCGATTCTTGTGCCTTCGGATCACCACATCAGAAGAGCTTCCGGTTCCTGGCTGCCAACATGAATATTGACAGTCTGGCAAGGAGGTGCAGTCGTGACCATAAGCATGTGGTAGTTGAAGGAAAATATACAAAAGCTTCTGCCTCCTACACAGACGATTTGGCTATGCAGCTTGCTATGTGTTTCAAAGAGGCAGTTATGATGAGGAGAGCAGCTTTGCGGGATGATGATTCCAATATATCTTCTGGCCTTGAGAACCAGCTTGTCAATTTGGTTGCTCAGAACGGAACTTGGAAGAAGGTTGATGCTTGGACTTTTCTGGAAAACGACACATAAACCTTCTGGAGATGAAGAGCCTTCTGCGTCTTGGTGTCCGACTAGCCAGGTCGCCTCGCTCGATGAGAGTGGTCAACTTTGTCGATTCGAATGTGATTCGCTGTGCTGCCTCCAAAGGGCGGACATCCAGTCGAGCCCTGGCGCCGCTGATAAAGCGGTTTGGTGCTACTTGTGTTGCAGCTGGCCTCTATTTCACCTTGCCCTTCGTACCGACTAGATTGAACACTTCGGATGATCCTACCAGAGATCGTGAAGTGCGATCGGCTTGGAGAACCTGTTGTCTCGATGAGCTGACAGAAGAGGACTGCCATGCACTATGCACCATGCCTAAGCTTCGTCGTTGGGCATCAAACTGGTTAAGGGTAGTGCTATGTATCTTGGACTTCAGAGGTGCTGCACTTGTCTCGCCACATCGGCGGCTGCATGGACTTCAGTGGACTTCTCCTAGGCTCATCCCTGATTTGCCTTGGGCTTCTCATGCTCTCTGCCATCATATGGACTTCGATTCCACCATGGGCTATCCTGGCGAAGGACCTTTCTGGGTCCTCTTTCTGATTTTCCTCGCACCTTGCTGCTTGTCCTGCCTCGTCCCTCCCTGTCTGGTCTTGTTCTTAGTCACCTTAGTAGGTAGGAGCGAAGCCATGATTGCACCGCGCACTCCTGGAGACTGGAGTAGGCAGGCGACGAGACGAAACAGACCCCCTCTACCTCAAGGACGGCCTGTCACCCAGCTGACGGCTGGCAACCGTGAGAGATTGCTTGCGGACTTGCTGAGATGGAGCGACATGTGTGGCCTGAATCTCCGTACACTGCTTGAGAACCCCTTGTTGCACATTGAAAGGATCAATGCAATCCTACAAATGTATGGGCGAAGACTGTATGACGCAGGGAAGACATACAACATTTATGTTGAGTCAGTGAACAGCATTGCATCGTTCAAACCTGTGCTAAAGAGGCAGCTTCAGCCCGCTTGGGACCTAGCTTTTGCTTGGGTACGAGAAGAGAGGCCAATTCACCATATCGCCATGCCTTGGCAGGTGCTCTTAGCGATGTTGTCGGTCGCCCTTGGGTGGGGATGGTTGGAAATGGCAGGACTGCTGGCGCTTGGATGGGGGGCTCTCTTGAGAACGAGCGAGATGACAAACTCGCTGCGGAAGGACCTGCTCCTACCTTCTGATACGTTGGGGACAAACAAATTTGCTTTGTTGTCGCTGCTGGAGCCAAAAACTCGTTTCGTTGCTGCTAGGCATCAGAGTGCAAAACTTGACATTGGTGATCTTCTTGCTGTTGTGGAAATGGCTTTTGCAGATTTCAAGCCACACCAGAAGTTGTGGTCTTTTTCCTCCGCTACCTTCAGGCTGCGATTCAAAGACATACTGCGTGCACTGTCGCTGCAAACCGGAGTCTTCCAAGGGTCCAAAACCCTTGACGCCGGGTCTCTTAGACCTGGCGGAGCGACATGGCAGCTTCAGTGCACGGAGGACTCAGAATTTGTTAGAAGAAGAGGCCGGTGGGTGAATGCAAAAGTGATGGAAATCTACATTCAGGAAATTGGATCAGTTCAGTTTTTAGCTCAGATGACCACGTCGCAGAGGGAACGCGTCATTGCTCTTGCAGAACTGTTCCCAACCTTGTTGAAGAGAGCTGCTTGTCTCAAGAGGGCTTTCATCCCTTGCAGTGCGTGGTATACCCTGTTGTCGAGCGACGAGCCTTGAGCTGAAGTTATGGGAGGAAGTTGTGGGTGTGAAGATGTGGCCTTGATGGCCCCTACATGGCCGTGATGGCC